GAATGCTGATTGCTTTGCTTTTTGTTCTAGGCACAGTGAGCTGCACGTTATTCCTGGTAGTTAATGGTTTATATTCGGCCAGTGACGATGTGATAGAGCTAACACCAACTAACTTCAACAAGGAGGTCATTCAGAGTGAGAGCCTGTGGCTCGTGGAGTTCTATGCCCCATGGTAAGAATTACAGCTGCGTACTTGCTTGCTCTTATTATGGAGGAGCAGCATACTAATCTGGTGCTGATCAGTCCAGGGCTTCATTCAGTTGTTGGCAGTACAGTTATCAGTTCAATGGCCTCATGACTAGCAAAATAGCTGTAGTTGGGATTCCTATTTTAAATATCCTCACCAGGGAAAAACGCAGGAATTGGAGTCACATGGAAAAGACAAGGGGTAATGGGTAAGTTACTCCTGGGGAGATTCTGATTGGACACAAGAGGAAAATTTTTCACAATGAGAAAAATCAGCCATTGGAATAGTCTCCCCAGAGAAGTGGTGGGTTCCCCAACATTGGACACTTTTAAGATTCAGCTGGACAGGGTGCTGGACCATCTTGTCTAGACCGTGCTTTTGCCAAGAAAGGCTGGACCAGATGATCCTTGAGGTCCCTTCCAACCTGGTATTCTATGATTCTATGAAAACCTTATATGTCATTTTACTACTTCAATTTTTCTACAGAAAGTAGTATTAAAAATGGCTGCTCAAAGTGCAATAGGTAAGTGAGAAGGCCCCTCACTTCTGTCTTTCTGAACCTGATTCTGATATGAAAGTACAGATCTGAATTCACACTTAGAATTCCCAATTTGCATTGAAAATACTGGCTTTGTGCATCTTAATTTAGCACCTTTATCTCCCATCCTGCTCAGGTCCAGAGCATGGAGTCTCTTCTGTGTATATCCTGGTGATGTATGTTCCATCTTTGCACAAATCCTCTGTGCTATTGCCATCCAAAGCTCCGCATTCTGGAGAAAGGGGCCTTTCATTGCAACAGCCTGACTGTGTCTGGACTGAGAGGTTTAGGGGAAAGCTTGCTGTGCCTCTTCTAGTGGTGTTGCAGCTTTATGGGCAACGGGAAGCTTTATTGAACAATGGCAATAAAGTGTAGAACAGGTGTAAGTAAATTGGCAGCTCTCTTGTGATGCTGTGATTATATACCAGTTGCCAGCCAACTGTTGGTCTTCTCCCCTAGACACCTCCAGAAGATGTTGTGCCACAAATTCTTGCTAGTTAAGAAGTTACCTCTAGAATAATTTTTTCAGGTCTCATCACAGGTCCATTTTAGCCTGCAACAAGCAGACTAGTGTGCAAATCTGGATTTTGGTGCTCACGTTTGCTTCCGTGTTAGGAAAGCCAGGTAGCTTTTGAGGTGTGTGTATGCACTTATATAATACATATGGAGGTTTTTCTTCAGAAGTCTGAGTGATGATGTGATGTTGTGGCATAGCCTGTTCCCCTCTTCATGAGTAGACCTTAAGTCTCGCACAGTTTGCTGCAAGCGGCTGTTCTGTAATTGCAAACCCAACAAGGCCACTCTGTATTCTGTGAAGTAGTTATCAGATCTGAATGACAATTACTGTTTGTTTTTTTTTTTTCCTAAAAGGTGTGGTCATTGTCAAAGACTAACCCCTGAGTGGAAGAAAGCAGCAACAGCATTAAAAGTAAGTTTAACCTTTCAAATGTGCTTGTGGCAGTGGATTGAGGAGAGTTTGGCTGTTTGTCATCTGGCTTGGGAACATGGAGGTGGGGTTTGGTCCCCAAAACCATATCACTTTAATCATACTATCCAGCCAGAGAAGTGGCCAATCAGAGGCCCTTAAAAAGTCAGGATTTTTGTGGGTTTTTTCTTTTTTTAAAAAAAGTCATTGAATTGTAGAGGAAGCAAATCAATTCTGTCCCTATGAATTGCCATTACTGTTTTCCAGGGCTGCTTTTACCAGCACCAGAAGACATTAGAATCCAGCCATCCCCCAAAATAGCATGTTTCTCTTTTCTTCCTCGCTGTCCTGTCACCTGCCTCTGAAGTACAGGAACAGGATGAACTGAATATATGAACACAGCTTTGTAAACTGTTGGTGATGAATACTTATTTAATTACAGAAAACTTGGTCAGGTAGTGATTTGCTGAACTCTTGCCTATGTAAAATATATTCCCCTTCTTAAAAAAAAAAAAAACCCAAACAAAACAAACCCAAAACAAAAAAACCCCAAACAAACAAAAAACCCAACCAAAAAAAACCCCAAACAATTTAAAATTTAGTTTGTTAGGATGAAGAAAGAAATGGACATACATGGTGTTCTATAGTTTAATGCTCTTCAGGGGATAATACCTCTCTTCTGGTGACTGTTTTCTTACCCTCCTAATAACTCTCTCTCTCTCCAGCATGCACAGAGTATAAAATGTGTTAAATCACTGTAGAAGTCTTGTCTTAGTTTTTGTTTTTGTTCCCACAGGGTGTAGTGAAAGTAGGTGCAGTAGATGCAGATAAGCATCAGTCCTTGGGTGGACAGTATGGAGTCAGAGGGTTTCCAACTATCAAGATATTTGGAGCCAACAAAAACAAAGCGGAGGATTATCAGGGTAAATGTGATGCTCTTTCACATGTTGCACGCCTAAAAACTTCCCTGAATAAAGTAATTATGGTAGCTGTTAATGCTGTCTTGTGTGGTGTTTCCTTCCTATCTAGTGCTTGTAGTAACTGAGAGACAGATGGGTGGGACTTGTTTGACCAAATTGTGCATGTCTTAGCATGGGCTAACAGTCCCACCTGCAGTTTTTAGTTGGTGGAGGTTGATAGGCACTTCCAAAGTATTATTCCTTTCTTTCTGTTTACTGGGAGCTTGCCACAGTCACCCCTGATCAGGTAAGGTGGTTAGTTAAAAAGTGGAGTGAAGTCAATCCTGCTGCTTGTGTTTAAGTCACTGATGTCCCACTACTAGTACCATATCGCTTATAGCCCAGTCCTGCTTTTCCTGAAAAATCCTTGGGGTGAGGGAGTATTAAGTTTGCAATTAAGTCAGGGGCCTACCTTAAACTGGCCTTTTGATGCTTTAAACACTCATTTTGCTGTGTTGCAGGTGGCAGGACAAGTGATGCCATTGTTGATGCTGCTCTAAGTGCTCTTCGGTCCCTGGTGAAAGACCGTCTTAGTGGCAGAGGTGGAGGATATAGTTCTGGGAAACAGGTATTTGAGGGAACGTGTGGGTTTGTTTTCAACTGGAGACTGTCCTGTACAGGAGATCAGGGCTTGTGCTCCTGACTCTGTTTACAGAATAGTTGAAGTTGGAAGGGATCTCTGGAGGTTGTCTAGTCCAGCCCCCTGCCCAGTGCAGGGTCAACTAGAGCAGATTGCTCAGGGCTGTGTCCCATCAAGCTGTGAGTATTTCCAAGGACTGAGACTCCACACAGACTGCGCTCTTTGGGCAACCTGTTCCAGTGTTTGACCACCCTCACAATAGAAAATTTTTCTCTTATGTTTAAATGAAATTCTTGTATTTCAACTTACGCCCTTACTTTTTGTCCTGTCACTGGGCATTGCAGAGAAGAGTCAGCCTTTGTCTTCTTTACTCTCCTCCACTCAGGTATTTATATACATGGATAAGATCTGCACTGAGCCTTGTCTTTCCAGCTGAGCAATCCCAGCTTTCTCAACCTCTCATCATGTCAGATGCTCAAAACCCTTAATCAGCTTTGACCCTTGGCTGGACTTGCTTCAGTGTGTGCATGCCTCTTATACTGGGGAGCCCAGAACTGGACCCAGCACTCCAGATGTTTCACACAGTGCTGAGCAGAGGGAAAGATGACCTCCCCAGACCTGCTGGCAACTCTCTGCCTAAAGCAGCTCAGGAGGCTGTTGGCCGCCTTTGCCACAGGGGTGCATTGCTGGCTCATGTTCAACTTGTCCACCAGGACCCCCAGGTCCCTCTCTGAAAAGCTGCTTTCCAGCTAGTCAGTCCCCAGCATGTGCTGGTGCATGGGGTTATTCTTCCCCAGATCCAAGACTTTGCATCTCCCTTTGAACTTTGAGGTCCCTGTTAGCCCCATTCTCCAACTGGTTGAGGTACCATTTGCGTAGTCCTATCCTATATGGATGAGGTTTTTTTTAATTTGGTAGTGTTCTTCTGAAGTTGGCTTTCTGGGTTTCTCCCTGAAGGTAAATTGAAAAGCTTCTGGCTCCTACTACTGTTTCTAAATCATGGAGCAAGTACACTCTGACATCCTCAGGTTGGCCAGATAAAAGACCTGGATGAATGGTACCCTATAGCATGTATTACGCTCACACATGTTTGTTTTGCCTGGAAACCAGGGCACAGTGGGGTGGGGGGCTTGGAGAGCACTTTGTTCTTGGACAGATCAGAGCATGAAGAACTGGGGAAGTGTTCCCACATCTTGTCAGTCAGTTTGACTTGATTTCTCTTTTTTTTTTTTTAAAGAGAAGGTTCACTTGCTGTTTCTTGAAAGTGCTGTGCGAGTGGGCTGTGTGTATTGTCAGTTCTGAAATGGTAAAGTTGTATAACATAACACTGCCCGTTTTGTATCTCGTTCAAATAAAGACCATTTGGTACAACATGACGCACAGGAGATGGCTTGCGTGGGAAGCCAGTTTTGGTTACTTCTTACGTGAGGGTCTGTTTGTTTCTTGCAGAGCCGAGAGAGCGGAGGTGGAGATAAGAAGGATGTGATTGAGCTGACTGATGACAGCTTTGATAAGAACGTCATAAATAGTGACGATATGTGGATGGTGGAGTTTTATGCCCCATGGTGTGGGCACTGCAAAAAGTAAATGAGGTTTTTCTTTGACAATTCAGTTCCCATTAGTGCTCGTTTTTGTGCAATACCCTTCATCCCCTAAAAGGGACCTTGCATCTCTGGTATATCAGAAGTGGAGTTTTCCATAAGGTGTTTTAACAGAACTGTGTGGGCTTCTCCTGCTCAGGGCACCTTGGTGTGGCTCTGGCTGTGCTCCTCCTTAGCAGAAAAATTCCCAGTTACCAGTGGAAATAAGATCCAGAAGTTATATTAACCTTTTAATTCCTTCAGATGCAGAACTTCAGTCTCATTTGGAATAACCCTCCTAGCTGTCATTCTCTGCAGAGACTTTTTTTTTTCCCTGAGTGGAGTATGCTACATAATGTTGGAATGTGGTATACTTCTGCTAGCTCTAAGAGAGCTTAGAGCACTCACACTCTTTGTTTTTCAGCCTGGAGCCTGAATGGGCAGCTGCTGCCACTGAGGTGAAGGAACAAACAAAGGGAAAAGTGAAGCTGGCTGCAGTAGATGCAACAGTCAATCAGATGTTGGCAAGCCGATACGGGGTGAGTGTGCTCTGCAGTGGTTACAATTTCCTTTGCATCTCTAGTAAGTCAGATTTCCCTCTAATGCTTACTGAACTGTTCCTTAATCTGGTACCACTTAAATGTTGTGTGCTAAAAATAGTATTAAGTGACACATATAGCACTTTTCCACAAATAATTCATTCCTGAATGTCAGTAACAATATAAATAAATGGGGTGAAAGGAAAGGAATGAATATGGATGTTGCTGATAAAAAAGGCTGTTTATTTCCATAAGGTCTTGTATAGCTTTATCATCTGAAGTGAGAGGTGTCTCCTTTCAGACTGTATGTTGGCTGGGCATTTCCAGAATACACACATGTACCTTTGTACATCTTGGAGCCAGTTATCAGGGATCACTCCGACAATATTAGCTGCCCAGATCAGCTATGCTGTGGGCCCAAAGTGAACTGATATTCTTTAATTTTTAATACAGTACAGGGAGCTTACAGTGTGCTGCTATGTTTCCCTGTAATAGGAAGACTGAGCAAGTTTTACTGGAAGCGTAGCAGAGGGAGCTTAAGGTCCATTTGTTGCCATGTAGGCACAGTGCTGTCTCCCTGCAGACAAACCGGAAAACTAATGTCTAAGAAATAAAAGAGTTAAGATAGTCCTCCTGATACAACCTGCAATGCTTGGTGCATCTAAACTGAGATGAAACAATAGCTAATTCATCAGGCCTAAAACTTGAAACAGTGTTTCAATGTACGTTGGCCTTGTTTTGAATTGTTGCACAAGTAGGAAGTTACAAAATTGTTTTAGTTCAGTCATAACATGCTGTGAGACTTGATTCACTTAGATGTTAAATCTCTTCCCTTTCTCTTAATTTAGAACACATCAGAGTGGCAGATAACTTCCGCCATAAATGTTCAGATTTATTTGAGCTGATGACTTAAACTTGTCTTGCAGATTCGCGGATTTCCCACAATTAAAATCTTCCAGAAAGGAGAAGACCCTGTTGATTATGATGGTGGCAGAACTAGATCTGATATCATTGCTCGTGCTCTGGATCTGTTTTCTGATAATGCCCCACCACCTGAACTCCTGGAGGTACCTCTACATCATTTTCTCAGATTGCTTTTCCATCATATCTTTTGCAGCAGCTTTAGCAGAACTATATCAACTGTAAATAAAACAGCCTAATTGTGCTGCTTGCACACTGTTTTGCAACAGAATGACAAGGATGACAAGTCTGATAATTCAGGTTTCTGTTATTTAATTTTTACTGTGAATTTGTTGTTGACTGAAAGATTATCGGAATTGATACAGTGAAAGCACTGACAGGATGGTACCAGGGTGTCTGAATCCTCTCTTGGGTTCTGTGCCCCATCTGTTTTCTTACAACAAGAGGGCAGAGTTTTGTCATTTGTAAGCCATCCATTAGAAGTTGCATGACTAATCTTGCTTGTTGTCCAAAAAACTCCACTCTCTGTATGGTGACTTCTAGTTTCAGCTTGATGTTGGCAGATTGGAAATGGTGATCAGTTGTCTCCAAAGTGGGGTGCATGCAAGACAAGCCATTGGGGTGCAGGAAGAAAAAAAAAAATTACCATTAATAAATTTAAAAACAGACATTTTAAAATAGTGTTCTTTCATTTCTTTAAAATGTCTGTTTTCTGTATGCCTTATAATGTACACAGTAGTACTTGTGTATAATTGATATACATATACTGGGGCTACATGCTTAGAAATTTTCTTGCTGGTAGTAGTGCACAATCAAAGTTTGGAGACTGCTAACGTAGATAAATGGATTGATTCCTTTTTAAGGTAGATGACACAAAACTGGTATTGCTCGGTTAATGTCGATTAAATGTCCTCATCTTCATCAAATGCTGCACCCTGCTGGCTCTCCTTATGCTAGCAGTACCATGAGTGAAACCTACAGGCATATGCATAGGTCTGGGTGTGCTGTTTCCAGTCCTGGTCCAAAGACAGTGACTTTGGGCAAAAAGTGTCATCTTACTGTGCTCTCTGTAAGCCTTGTTTGGTACTGCTTACTCTCCTGTTGCTGCAAGTCTCAACAGAAGACTTGGTGAACTCTTTGTAATTAGTCTTGTGTTGGGAGACCAGTGAAGTAGGAGAGGCTTGTAAGCTTTTGTGTCAAGTTGCTTCGATGCTTATTACCTTATAGGATGGAGTTGATAGGCTGTTGGAGAGAAGTGCAGTCACAGCTAGGTAATCAAGTCTTACTCTCATTGACTTTCTGCCACTTTCTTCTAGATAATTGGTGAAGATGTTCTGAAGAGTACCTGTGATGCTCATCAACTCTGCATCATTTCTGTCCTGCCTCATATTCTTGACACAGGTAGACATACAAGCGAGCAGACTTCTGTATGAATTTATCACTTAAAGCATGTAGTTGTGTTTTTTAACTTGTCCAATCCTGTCTAACAAACAGGAGCTTCAGGGAGGAATTCTTACCTGGATGTCATGTTAAAAATGGCTGAAAAATACAAAAAGAAAATGTGGGGGTAAGTGTTATTGTAGACTGGTCCTCTTGGAAAACAGCATTTTCAGAGGTAACAGGATAGAATTTGTATGATAGTGATTTATCTGCAGATAAGAGTTGTTCCTTGTTCAGGATAGTATATCTTGGTATTTCACTAACTGTACTGCGGCAGGGGATGCTGTGGCTTTAGAATAAGCTGCTGATTTTTTTTCTTTTCATCCACCTCTCAAATCCTGCATTTACAAGTGATATCTAAGCATTAATGAGATCAGATTAAGCATCTTTTACTTGTCCTGAATGCTAAAATATTTTAGGGCAGTATTTATCCAGTTTCTTTTGGAGTCTTTTGCTGGTGGGTAAGTGTGCCAGTATGACTGTTGAATTCTCAAAAAAAAAAAAAAAATTGCAGTTTATTAGCAAATTTCATGCTCTCAAAGAAGCAGACCAGCAGGCTTTGCCTTTGCTCCTCCTTCTCTCAAGGGGAGGTTAGGATCTCTATGACTTCTCTGGTAAGTGAGAGTTGTTCTGACACTGACTGCTGTGAAAAGGGGACAAAATGACATGAAAGCCTGGGGGGAAACGCTGAGATTGGCTGATTCCAGAGGTTCCTCAGGGGACTTTGTTAAGCATTAGAGGAACTGAGACCTGACCAGTGAGGAACTAATAGTGAGTGAAATATTGGTCTTGCAGTTTTTGGCCAGAAATCCTCTACAGTGGGATTTGGGCAGTACTTTGTCATGTTTAGATCTTGACTTGAGCCATTTTAAACCTTGCTTAATATAGGCTAAAGTGCAGCAATTTGTTCAGATTGGTAACATAGTTCTTTCCCTGGACTGCCTTTCATGGCTGTTACTTCTGATCTAGCTTTCAGTGGCTGTGAGCATGGGGCTGGCCTAGAGGTGCTGTTCAGGATCAGGACCCTGCTATTCCCTGCTGATTTCAATAACAGTTGACACTGTCAAGGGCAGTTCAGAGCCCAGCTTGAACTCTGCAGGGTTGCAGGATATGTGTGACTTCAAAATTATTGTAGTGCCTATCCTAATTATTCATTTTCTATTTTATCTTTTCCTCAAGGTGGCTGTGGACAGAAGCAGGTGCTCAGTCAGATCTTGAGAGCTCTTTGGGGATTGGAGGCTTTGGGTATCCAGCAATGGCAGCTATTAATGCTCGGAAGATGAAATTTGCCCTTCTGAAAGGATCATTCAGTGAACAAGGGATTAATGAGTTTCTCAGGTATGAAATCTTTAAGTGAGTTAAATCTTTCTGTAACTGGGGCTTGTGACTCTTTAGACCAAAATCAGGCTCTCCTGGATCAGACAAGACTTGCATGTTAAGAGAATTAAGATGATGAGCATTCACTGGAGTAAGGGAATGATTTCAGTGAGGATTGCAACTCATAAAGCAGCCTCTACATTTTTGTGGTGGACAGAATTAAGAAGTTGGACATTTAGACTTAAATGGTAGGTTTAGCTCAACTTTTGAAAACAGTTTGAAAACAGAAGTGAGCTTTGATCTTGAAAAATTCTGGTTCTCTGGTAACCGAAGAAATTAATGGGATTTGGTAATCAATACTGTTTAATTCAAATGGTGCATTCTGATTTGTAATTGGGAAGTTCTCAGTTTGGGAATCTGAATGGGTGCTGCTGAGGTTCTTGAGGTTCTGTATGTTGCTGTTCATCTTTCTGGTTTGGTTCAGTTCTGTCTTCCCCCTCCCCCATTTCCCTGGCATCTGATAAACTATTTGGGGGAGCTGAAGCAATCCATCCAAGAAGCCAGTACCTCTCTGCTCAGCTCAAGTTCCCTGAAACTGCCTCTTGCATAGTTGGGCAAGAGCCAGTGCTGAGAAGAATTGAATGGGGAGGAGGACAGAAGGCGGCAGCAGCACTGAAACAGAGCAGCTAAACTTGAACTGTTACTTAAGCATGGTCAAAGTGAAGTGAGAACTCGTGCTTCTGGGTAAAACACCAGCTGCCATAAGGTGTGTAAGAGCCTTTGAGAGCTTACATTAGCAGTGTTATTTCCATGTCCTTGCTTGGAGAATGGCAAAGGACAGTCAGAATTGCAAAAGGAAATACAACAGTCTCTCCCCACCTTGCCATTAATTGAACCCTGTTCCTGCTGGATTAATGGAAACAGTGCTATATTCTCTTACCTGTGTAAGGGATCAGACTTTCTTCTTAATGCCAAAAAGGGGAGGTTCTTGGAGCATCAAGTAAAATATAAGATTCAGATGCAAGAAGAGTAATACCAGACAGTCTGTACTAATGCATGTGAGAGAAATGTCTGCCTTTCTCAGACATGGCAAATTTTCTTGGTCTATAAAATCCATCTTAGTGAAGCCCCCCTCGTGAGGGTGGATGGTGCTTCCAGGACACAACAGCCAACTTAACAGCTTACACTGCATTAGATAATTGGTTTGGTATTGTCTTACCAGAGCAATACTTGCTGGAATAATCTCTTACTTGACACTTCAGCTCAGCTGTGCTGCCTAGAGAAAGCAGTACAATCACAGTTGGTGTAGCTGACTGTTAACTCAGCTTGCTGCGTGCTGCTTTTGTAATCTAATAGGCAGTCTCAACAGCGTTGACCAGAAGTAAGGAAACAAGCACTGAGAAGAGCATAAAAATTGTAGACTCCACCTAGGGGGGAATCCTTATTCAGTCTTATTTGCTTCAGAAAGAATGCAAAGGGATTAGCGCTTCAAGATTTTAATGTTAGGCTTTTTGAGCATGCCTAATAAGCAAGTGCAAGATGGGGCGTCTCAAAGCAGAAACTGGTTACCTCGTACCGATTGTAATCCGTGGAGGCTTAAAGTCCACTAAAGAAAGATCACTAGTGATTTCAAGTAACAGTTGCAGGTGACTTCCGAAACGAGAATTACAGACTCCTCTTGGAGTTGCCTCAAGTGATACACAATATACTATTAAAGGGGCTGTGTTTGTTCTGGAGTGTTACAACGGGCACTGGTGAAATATGAAACAGTGTGGCTCACATAGTTTGTCTCTTTGGATCCAATTGTAAATTCACAATGCTGTTTTAAGGACTCTCTCAATTTGAAAAGCTTTTGCTTCCAGACAGTTTAGATTTCCTTCCAAGAGATGCAAGCAGATCTTAAAGTTAACTTCCTTTTATCTAAAACAGGCACTGTTCCAGGTGGATGGAGACTGGAGACATTTCTTAAATTTAACTTTTACTTGTTTTTTCTCAGGGAACTGTCTGTTGGTCGTGGCTCTACAGCACCAGTGGGTGGTGGAGCTTTCCCTAAAATTCATTCAGTTGAACCTTGGGATGGCAAAGATGGTGAGGTAAGAGGTGCTCCATCTCTAAAAGTGCTGATGATTTGCGAGGTTCAGAAGTGACTGGATAGAGTAACTAAGAACTGGCAATTTGAAAATTCTTGTTCTTCAAAGATTGTGGAAAGTTGTGTTGATGGCTTCCCATTATCTAAATCCTGCCACCCAACCAAACACCAAATTCATCGTCCGACGTTGTGGACACATACTCCTGCCTAGCTGTTAGAATGTAATCTGAAAGTTGAATCCCTTAAGGCTGAAACCCATTATGACACATGCTGAGTAAGGAAAGTGGTAGTGTATGCATTCAAGACCTGAATGTTTGTGGAGACTTTGGTTCTGCAGTATGCTGACCTTACCATCAAGGTCTTAATGTCAGAAAGTTTGTAAGGTAAAGCCTGTGTAATAACACAGGGATTGAGTATGTTCCTAAGGTTCAACATTGCTGTAAAAAACAAAGTTACTACAATTGTTTGATCTACTTCAGATGGAATTAAAATATAGAATATGGTAGTAACTTTGTTACATAGTTTATCTGTATTTGCCTTTATGTGGAGTATTTTTATTAGTAGAAAACAACCTTCTAGTCTAAATTCTGATTGCTTGTCCTGTGCTTAATACACTTTTGAGTTTTTATGAAAGAAGGAGGAGACAGGCGGGAGCTTTACTCTCAGGATGAAGGAAGCATCTTTCAAAGTCAGTGATGTCCCGGTGTTAAGCGCTTCTAAACATGTGCTCAAAACCTTCCCTTTTTCACAGCTTCCAGTTGAAGATGATATTGATCTCAGTGATGTGGATCTGGATGACTGGGATAAAGATGAGCTGTGAGACCTTCAGGAAACGTCTTTTCTTGGGAGAGTTTGTGCAGCAGTTTGCAACCTGGTTCACAATCAGATGGATATTCCAGTGGCCTTTTTATGGAGAAATAGCACGTGACACACTGTGCTATTTGATGCACTGCAGCAGTGAACTGTACGCATCTCAAGAAAACATTGCAGAAATTCTATGAATTGTCATAACCAGTAAACTTGATTGTATTCTGTGTAACAAATATTTTGAGAACAACATGGATATTTCTTTGGAACATCTTGGGTTTTATTTTGTTGATAGTGTGCTGTTTGAGTGTTACTGGAGGCTGTTAGTGTAACCAATTTTAAATGTGATTTTTTTTTTTTTCCATGGAGGTGGAACCTGGTCAGCTTCTGTTTCAATTAAAGAATAAAACAAAATATTTTTGACACACAGTGTTAGTCTTGTATAGAGTAACAAAGGTGCATGTGATAAAAGCTATCCTATTTTGGATGACTCTTGAAAAATGAACTGTAGAATAGAGAGGCTGGTGCAGAGGGGAGTCCTAAACCATCCTCTTGCCGTGAACGATCTTGACAGTTTGGCCTAAAGCCTGATTAGATGGACAATCTTAGTTTAAATGCTCTTCAGTCTTCCTTTTCCTATTCCTTCTCAGGGGCTTTCTCTTTCTTTGTGCCAGTCTTTAAGATCATTAATACAATGGAAGTGGGGTTGCTGCTGCAATGGGAGACACTGGGAGGTTGGTCTCTTCCCCAGGATTAGCAGTGAAGCTAATCCCCATTTTAGGGTGTGAGGATTTCCAGGTGCTAACAGAAAAACACCATGGTGCTGTCTCCAGCAAATTGGATCTAATATTTCTTCACTGCCCATCTGGCATTGTTTTGATTTGAAATTGCTATTTCCTTGGAAGGGGAATCAGGAATGGGGATGGTTGCTGCTGCTTTTTTAATAAAAATACTATTATATTTTGTTGCTCTCCATGTCTTGTGTATCAGTGTCTAGTGAAGTGACCCTCGTGATCAGCTTGTTTATAAGTAAGGAATGAAAGAACTGAAAGTTTCCCCTCCTTTCAAGGAAATAACTTAATATGGATATTTGTCATCTAGTGTCTGTAAGAGATCACCTTTAGCTCATCCCCATGAAAGGCAGTGTAAGAACCACTGGTAGCCAACAGTAACTTGACTGCTGATTTGGTGCAGGAAATGTGCACCAACTCTAAGTCATCCCAGCAGATGAGATCTAGTGGAACTGTTCTAACTTAAATGTCTTGGCAAAAACTAAACTTGTGAGTACTTGGGACTGTAAGTCATACTACAGTAAGCTCCACAGTAATTTTGAGGATCTTCTTAAGCTTTTCTTTTTTTTAAATTTAAAAAATCTTTGGGTTTTGCTCTGATGCTTTCTACTTTTCTGTGGGTTTGGGTTTTTTTTTTCCTTTTTTTTTAAGTTTGTTTTGATAGAAAAACAGGACTGTGCACACCTAGTAGATCCATTAGCCACCACACTTTTAAAATTGTTTTATTTCAGGTCCAATAGATATTCCATCTTTGTAACTTACCAAAAAAAATAAATACTACCATAGTACCTCCTGCCTCTGAAATATGTTTTTGTAAAACTATGAACAAGACATATTTATACTGTAAAAATTACTGGAAGTGAGAGGAAGATCTTATGCAATTATCCTGCTACACCATCTGCATTTTAATTTGACTTTCAGCAGCTAAAGATTGTTTTACTGTAACATTAGAGTCTTGAAAATTAATAGATGAAGCTTGAGCAATTTTTCTTTAACTGCAGTCAAGAAGACTGAGGTCAATCTTGAAATAGACATAAGGATAGTATTCTTGATTACTCAGTTGTAAACCAGGGATGTCCATGCCAGGCTGCAAAAGGAAACAGTATGACTTAGTACCAGTAAAAAAAGCTGCACAGTTCCAAGCTACAGTGGATTGCTTTTGTGCTCCTCTTCCACAGGTGGAATGGAGTTTTGTATTTGCTGTGCTTAAGATGAGTAATTCACCACTGAGAATCTGGTGTTTGCTTGGTGTTTTCAGGCTGCCTAATGCAGTTAGTATTGAGAATTCATGCTTGGTTGCAACTTTATGAACGTGTACTGTGACATTTTTGTGTGCTTCAGCTCTAGAGCAACTCATTTCTTTCTCCCTTCATGCACTGGGAATCTTACGCTTGCTGGGTTTGGGCTGTTTCAATGCCTACTGGTTTATCCTAATTGGTTTATCCTAAATCATTTGTGCACTCAAGATATGGGGAGGGCGAAAGCAATTACTGCTGCTTGCTGAAGTCCTAGGTTGAGGTATTTAGTCAACGACAGCCTTTTACAGGGGACGGAGGTGTCGCAGTCTTAGCATTTAGTTCTGAATAAAATTTTCTTGTTTGTGTTGATCTGAATGTTTATAGAAGACTTGAAGCTTTTTACCTAGAGGAACTGACATAATTGAGCTGACCTATTTCAGTCCGCTAGCTGTAAACATCAGATGCTTCAACAGAAAATGTAAGCAATCTCTACGCATCTCCATCATAATCTGAGCCTACCTGTTACCCTAATCCAATCTGTAACCGCCAGGGATTAGAGCTGCATGCAGGGCTCCTAGCATTGCAAAGTGTGAGGAGTTGCTTGCTCTAACCCCCGGACTGTGAAAGTGTTCATTTGGCTAAACTGAGACAAGCTACAGCATGTGCAGTTGTAGTCCAGATACATACATCCATTATACTTGCTGCTGCGACTTCATCCAGGTGTTTGAAGACCACGTTTAGGACATCTCTCAGGCGTTTTACAGACTTCCTATTTGGCTGCAGCAGCATTGCTTGGAAATTCACTGGGAGGCCATACCTTGAAACACATCAACATACACGATCATCTGCTGGGAAGGGGCACGCCTTTCCGCTCCTGCCCATCTCCCTCTTCAGTCTCCTGGCATGCTAGCTGATTGTGCATTGCAGAAACAATCTCCGTGGTGGTGTGCTGCCTCCTTATCTGAAAGCATTTCTTTTTGAAGCCGAAAGTCAACTAAAGAGTGTCTTTCTGTTTTCCACTTCCCTGTAAGTGCCCCCAGAGAACTGTTTTTCATCAACTTCGTATGTCACCTTTTTTGTGGTCGTCTGTATTGTCTCCTGTGAGCTTCTCGAGCATGGTGTGTGAGGGATGTTCCCTCCCATGAAGGAACTGCCCCAGGAAGAGAGCTGTACATTTTGACTTCTACAGGAATCTCTGCTGGCACTGCACGTTTACCCACTTACCTCAGGACAGATTCAACAAAAACTCTCAAGGCTTTCACGTGAATCCAAGCCACAAATGCTTCACTGAAGTTGACTTTCAGCCAGCGCAGTAACGGGCCCTGTGAGAACAGGCACAACAGTATTGTCATCCCCTCGCTGCGTGAAGCAGCTCCATAGCTAACACCATGGGGGCCATCATGGGCTGCTGAGATAATTCTCAGGCAGCCTGTTAGTGGCTCCCAGTTTATCAGAAACTCGGGTGACATTGGACCAATTGTGTAATCATCTATCCTGTGCCTCAGTTTTCTGGGCTAAATGGAGCTCACAGGAGTCTGTTGGAACCACAGATCCATTTCTGAGTGAGAGGTGCTTAGGCACGCCGGTAGCAAAGGCTGTCATCAGCCTTGATGTGGGCCATCAATGTGATGTGCTACTTACATATTGTTGTTTCTTATCGGAAGCTAATTTCATCAGCTCTTCCTTTTCATATTTCAGTTCCTTCTCATCAAAATAAAATTCTCGAACCATGAACCTACAATTGAATGACATTTGCTCTCACAAGCCATAGTCCAAGCAAGATGTGCACTCATTTCTTTTGCCTCTAGAGAAGCAGGTATGGGATGTTTCAAAGTTGCTAGCCATTTAACCAGTTAAAGTATGTGGAGGGAGGGAGTTGAAGCCACCCCCAGAAAGCCAGCTTCCTGCTGTCAGCAGTATGAGAGCAGGAAGGACAACTCCAGGATCTGTAGTTTGGTGCTTAAATAGGATCACTGTATCTGTTGTCACAGCTCCTTCCCACCCTGCCTTCTCAGTGGCTTTAGGGCCAGCAGCAGCTCAAACAGTAAAGAAATCCTAAAAACCAGTGATGGGTTCAGCTGTACTGCACACAGAACAAGCCCCACCTTATCATCTGTTTGCTAGCTTGCCCTGCCTAGCAATCAGTGCTTCTTACCTGTTCTCCCTGGCTTTAGCCTTGAAGTCATCCATCACTTTTCTAAATAGGGTCACAGTGAAGAGTCCTCCCTCTGCATCCTCAGCAATCATTCTGTGGGAGGGAAATTCACTGTTGTGATTTGACATGGCAAATCCCTCATGCTTTCTTTACCTTCCTCTTTTGCAGTTCTTTTTTTCATTTATCATACTGAACAACACCCTGCTTTTCAAGAACTGCTGTGACTGAAATAGGGAACAAAGACTTTGCTAGCACCAGCCATGCTATCTCCAATGTAGAACTCCCACATGTTAAGTTCCTGAACCCATCGTAGTACACACACACATTCTGCCTGCCTGATTTCTCTATGTTTCCTGGTAACGTTCCCCCACTTTCCATGCACTTGTGTTTTTGAGACAGGCAGTAGCACACAGCTTTCTTCTTTCTCTGTGCTTTCCACTTCTTCCATTTCAGATAATAGCACTGTCTTCTCTTGTGCCTTGGATTGGATCTCATGGTCTGCGGGAGCTGAGCAGTGGAATATTTAATTCCTAGGAAGGATTTTTTACTCCAGGTGAAAAGATAAGTTAATATGGCATTTGCTAATGCAAATGACAGTACACTGAATTATCCTATTATACAGCAGGAAGCAATTAAAGATGCAAAGATAGCGTTTGATCTTCGTAAAAAGTAGTTTCCATAAAATTGTATGTGATTATGAATTATGCCTGGATTACTGTAACAAATTGTTTGTCTGCTTTACACAAAACAAGAAGCTAATTGTAAAAAAAATAGTCATTTTTTTTTTCTTTCATCTGCACTTCCCTTCAACAGAGTAATTTCTGATTTCAGTTGCGAATGAGATTGGGCAAATCTATGTGTTAACATGGAGCCCATGCGTTAGACAAGTGATTCCTTCCAGGATCCAGCAATTTGAGGGGCTGAAATATGGCAGGGATCTCTGACACACACAGAGACCTTAATCTGGAATTTCACTTACTTGGTGGAGCGAGGCACTACCATATCGGAGAGGGATTCATAGGTCTTCTGCCACTGTACGTAGCTTGACCTTTGAGCAACACAAAACAAAGCACAGTAAATAAATACTATATACTAGAAAGCAAATGTTTTGATAAATATAATTAAGCTAATAGCTTAGGGTAGAAGGGTTGGAGCTCTTCGTGCTGGGTTATGTGATTAAGATATATTAAGCCTCTCCTACTCTTTCCTCTCCCAGTCACCAGCTAGGGAGATGTTTCCCTCAGC